TAACAATAACAATTTCCTGCAATTTAAAACTGCTTCGTTCTTTCAAAGTCTCGCACAATACCCGATTCCTTTTATACAACTACAGTATTCAACATGTTCATGTTCGTTTCTATACGAATACAGAAGCTTTGTGAGCAAAAATTATAGTCTGTTTTTTACGCTTAAAATTGTACATGTATAAGGTATGTTTTCAGGACTTAATTAATAGATGGGCAATTTTGAACGTTAAACGAGTAATTAATTTCAACCGATCCCTGACACAACATACTCGTCGAGCGGCTGCCCAAATAGTTAGACGAATAATAACAAATATAAATGATCAACCCGCTCCTCCTCCGGCTTAGTGAAACTTGGCATCAATTCAGCAAATTGCTGATTTATTTCATTAAAGAAAACCACCAATGGTCATTTGTCAGTTGATCGATCATTACGTATTACTGTATTTTAAAAAGGAAGTAATATCATATTCATAACTGAAGAACGTATCATTAAACTGTATGAAATAAATTATACTGCCATTTATATCAGTCTCGGCAATTATCGGTGAATGTTTACCTTGCTCTTCACAGCGCAATAAATATTCCCTAAGTCGGTAGAAGCATTTTTAATGTCTTAAAATATCACCTCAACTTCGGTAAAAGCATTTTTAATGTTTCACGAGGACATATTTTGAAACGCTTAAATGTTGTCAAACGAAGAATAGCACGACGCTGTTAACTCTGCAATAAGCCTGCCAGTAATTCGAAATTTCTGCTATCGGTTATGCAATTTTTTTCATATTAGATGCCGAGAACACCTGCATTACATGTGTGGACACCGCAGGATTTCTGTTCGATAAAATGGATCTTAGCATTTACATTCAGTTAATATTCTTGTGTACCTTCAACGCATTCTTTGGCTTGTGTGGAACAGTTCTCAATTCAATCGTCATATTCAGCCTGTGGAAGACTTCACAGCGGCGAGAGAAATTATGTTACTTCATGATTATCGTGCTATCGCTTGTCGATTTGATGGCAGTCGTAACGAGTCATCCTATAGTCCTTATTTTATCAATATTTTGGTTGATGGAAAGGCATGACTTATTGGCTTGGTTTATAACTTGTGTGCATGTTTCCAGTGTGTTTCATGGATTTTCGTTGCTCACACTCCTGGTCATGAACTTTGATCGATATTTGGCCACGACGTATCCTTTCGTTCATCGAACATCAATGACGAGAAGAAGACTACTAGCCGCTGTTGCTATTCTATGTATTTTTCAGGTAATCTTGGTAGCAATATCTTTCAATGATTTCTTGATTTCCTCCCAAATAATTCTAATATTTTTCCTCGCCATCTTCTCTCCTCCATTTTTGTTCGTTAACTATAAGTTGTACATGATTGTCAGAAGAATGCGTAAGAAGAAGGTATCATCCAAAGTTACATCGATGGTTAATCTGAAAAACATTTCTAGTTGTTTACTAGTAGTTTTCTGCTTTACATTATTGTCCATCCCAACGTACTCGTACATTGCCTTAAGCGTTACCGGCAAATCAAAGTTGAGCGACATACGACTATCCGCGCTTTGGGCAAAGAGTATAATCACCATGAATTCGACATTTAACTGTCTTATCTTTTACTGGAAAAACAAGCTATTACGAGTAGAGGGAATGCGGGTGTTGGGGTCACTAAAAAGCTGTGGACACTGCACATCCATGTAATAACAAAACTCTAAATTGTTAGACAGATTTCCTCAATTACTACGCATAAAGGAAATGTGGGGAATAGCAGAAAGCTGTGGACGCTGTACACATCCTGACTACAATTACTTCGTATATGCAAATTCGTCCGGTCCCACTTGTGCACAAGGATATTCGTACGGACAGCGCTAGCTGTCCTCGAACTCGTCTTGGAACTCGGTTTCAAGCTCGGTCCGGTTTGAACTCGGTCCGGTTTGTGGTGCGAAATAATAGGCTGAAATCCTGCAAGTTTTTGAGTGCGCGTCCATTTTCGTATGAACGATGTCTAATACATCCAAAACGTCCCAAGCAAGCCTGCCATCAAAGCAATACAAAGCAAGCCTGCCATCCTATACAAAGCAAGCCTGCATGCCATCCTTGCCATGCACCCCAAAATTAATTATCTTCATGGTTTCCGATCTAAATTAATCTTACGCCAGGAAACTCAGATTTTACATTGTTTTTTTTTTCAACTGAAGTTTGAAATTGCACAAAATTTGTCGAGGTTCATAATGAAGTGGCACAACTGTATATGGTGTTAAACTACCCTACTTATACTTCAATTGTGACCATGAAAATACGTGTTATTGTACCCAATCTTATATAGCTACTATAATAAATACACAATGAAGCTTCAATTAAAGCCTAGATTTTAAAGTTTCACCAGTATTCATTCATCTATTTTGAAAACAGGCAAAATTCTCTTCGAAACGAACAGTTGGAAACTAGTATAGAATGAAACCAAGAAAATAAAAATTGTTTTAGTTTGACAACCATCTACAGTGTTTCGTTGCTGTTAGTCGTCTCGTATCCCAGACGAATGAAATGTATACGACGACATTGACAATGGCACACGACGTTAATTTGGACGCATTTAGCAGACGATGTTAATATTTTTAGGCGTCTGTCTAATTTCCCGTATCCATGCATATTAGATGACTTTACGCGTCTTCTAATATAATACGGCCACATGAATGTATTAATAACACAAACTCATGAGTGAAGTCAATAAAATATCATTGTTTTTGTTCGCGAGATTTTAACAGAATGCATGAAATGAAATTGGCAGATGTTTCCTTCTTTTCTCAAAAACCCTGTGCAAAGGGAAAGGGTTCTTCGGAATAGTAAACATAACGGTGCATTAAAGCCCGTTTGTTAGGCGAAATTTTAACGCGAAGAAAATCCAAAAATAAAATATATTATATGGCTGGTTAGCGACAAAATTGCGGTACAAAAGAAGGTCGGTTGCTAGCTTTTCTCAGGGAATTTTGTTGCCAACCAGTAACGTCTCTTTTCGATTCACTTTACTTGCAATATTGAGGCTGCTGAACTACGCGGGCTTATAGAATCCCTATTTCTAGACCGTTACATATACTATATATGGAATTTCTAATATAAATTAAAAAATGCTGAAAATGAAGACTGCTAATGCAGATGAAAAAAATGCAAATGACTTTCAAGAACGAACTACTACTACTAATAATAATAATAATAATATTTACTCAGGAAGCTCCACTCACCGAAGTGTTTTTTCAGGGAGGTCCTGATTTCAAATCAAAGACCAGGACGATAAATAGTTTATCGCCAAAAAACAGTTAAGTTTTTAAAAGAACATTTCAATAAAATCTCGCGAACAAAAACATTTTTTTCATTTTTTAATTCCTTAAAGTATAACTAGTGTAAACAATATATAATGATAATAAGAAGGGATTTGTAGACGGAAATTGCGAGTGGAATTTTTTATACATTTATTATAACCAGGAGCAGTTGCGAAAAATGCAACTATCGGCCCTCTGGCACGAATCGAACCTGCGGCCCTGCGGTTCTGGTGCAGCGCTCTAACCAACTGAGCTACAGAGAGATAGTTGTCGAGCTCTAACCAAAAGTTCATGTATAAATATCCAGATGATTTTGATACGCGGAAAAGTACTGGCACTAGTTGTCAAATAGAAATCCATTTTATGATTGAAACAACTGAATATCTCCTGTAATATAGTTTATTTCGATTCCATATTTTTGTCAGAGCTATAGTTCTCATAACCAAACATAATTACAAAATTTCAACTAGTTTCATAAAAAATAACGAAAGATATAATTGACTGAATACATCAAAATGGATTTCTATTCGAACAACCCTTTCTGAGCGCTGATTGGCTAAAATACGAACACGAGATCACCTGGATACTAAGGCAATGGAGCGTGCCTATTAAAAAAATCTGCATGAAAATGAAAAGGAGTGCAAACGATTTTCAAGAACGAACTGATTTCAAATAATTTATCAAAGGCTAGTAAGTTAAGTCCAAGCTCATAGACAGTATACTGATAATATACCCACATCATATATTTTTGAAATTGATAGTTCTACAATGAAAAGTACTGATCTTCTAGTGATGTTTGTGCCCTTTTGGGCAAAAAAATGAAAAAATAAAATGGTCACGTTAACATGACTACCACTTAACGCGAGCCAGCGTTTTTGCCAGCGGTACGCTAACTTATTAGGAATACTTCATGTTTGGGGTTGGTGTATACATGCATATTAATTTGAAGGCGAGGTTGCATGGATATACAATGCGAGGGGTTTCTGCATACATGCATTCCTACTAGTAAGCATTATAAGAGCACACGAAATGGGTCAAACCGCCTGTTGACCAAGTTTTGAAAAAATGTGGGCGCGTAAATGACCAACAATTTATACGCAGCACATGCGCACTGAAATAATAAAAAAAGTTTATAGCCGGTTTTAACCAGTACATCATTGAGAGTCGAGGAAATTAGCAAAAGTTTCCTTCTCAGAAACCGTAGTGATCGGAAACCTCGTCTTCCAGGGTTTATCCTTTTGTCTCTTATAGAATCTACACACTATATTACAAAACGACCAATGCATGTTTTTCAAACTGCACCTGTCTTGTTCCCTTGTATACATGCATCATAGACATACCATCCTTGTATACAAGCATCATTTAAAATAGATTTAATTGATTGCAATATATGTAAGTTCATCACCGCTCTCAATTTTGTTTGTTTCCTTAATGTGGCTCGCTAGTATTACTGCCATAGTTGTGTAAAAATTGTTATCACATAATTTATAGATTTGTTGGGTAATTTGCTTATCCAGCAAAAATGGAAAAGGAATCATCAAAAATATTGTATAAGACACTGTACATGCACTTTAATGTCCAGTATTCAATAAGAAGGCGATGTTTTGAGAAATTTCATTCAAACAACAAAAGAAGCACAAAACTGTTATTCCAACATGTAATTCCAACATGGCGGTGTAATTCCAACATGGCGGTGTGTTGCTCGTCTGAGTTCAGTAATTTAATGGAAATATCTGTTTATCAACATGTGATTTCCAAGGAATCTATAGACATAAAGTTTCCCAAGATATATATTATGATGGTAAACGAATCAGCTGGCATAACGATTACGAATCACTACAGAAATTTATCGAATGTGTATTTGCACAACAAGGCAAATGGAAATCGGCCGGAGGAACTTCAAAAAAGTTTGTAAGTTCTATTGCGGATTTATCCTGCACATGGTATCCCGGTAAATTAAACTCCTTGTTATTCCATGGCAAAACTGGGGACTTAGTAAACGAAATTTTGGTTACGGTATGTAAGTCAACATTGTTTAATACTTTTGAAAACAGTGTGAAAGTGTGTGTCCAAAATATCCCTGTGCTTAATAGTCGGGACACTGATGGCATGACTAATTCACCACACACACAGACCTCGAACGTTTCGTGTAGCGCAGTTAAAGATATGTATAAACAGCCGAGTCCGAAATATGTTGATCAATCTTCCCAAACTGTTGATCCGAACAGGGAACAATGTTTGTGCGTTGACTTGTTATCTGAGTTTGATAACATGAAAATCAATTTCGAAATTATATTAACTAGAATAGATGCTCTACAATCGCTGGCAAATATGCAAGCCATATGTTTTAGTAATGACAACATTGTGCATCTTGAATCCGTGCTTGATGGGGAGGGAAGTAAAAGTATGAAATCAGAACCCACAATAAGTCTAATGGAGAAGGAAAAGAATTCTGAAATTGAGGCACTTAAAAGCAAAATTAATTCCTTGGACATGAAATTGGAAAAATGTTTAAAGGATTATGATGCTATCTCAAATCAATCACCTATTGTTATACCCCAAGTGCCTATTGTCTCTCCACAATCGCCTATTGTTCCACCCCAAGCGTCTATTACTCCCTCGTTGCATGTTAACAAAAAGAATCATGATCAAACCCCCGAATTGTAAATACCATGTCATGACAATAAAGAGTTCCTGAATAAATTACCGCTGTGTGATACTCAAGGTTTTAATTGTAAACAAGTAAATAACCTAAATGAAACATCATTATTACCGCAGCACGTTATGACTCCGTGCCAATCTTTGGAATCAAATAGTCCCCTTTTATCTAACAGATCGAGGAAACTTTTAGGAAAAATCCCAAACGGCCACAGACACGGTATATATCAATCTAAAACCTCAAATCAGGAAACATCATTATTACCGCAGCACGTTATGTCTCCGTGTTAATCTTTGGAACCAAATAGTCCTCTATTATCCAACAGATCGAGGAAATCTTTAGGAATAATTCCGAATGGTCGGTATATGTCAATCTAAAACCTCAAGTCTAAGGGATTTTACTCAACCTCAACGTAAAATTGCTCCTTTTCGAAAGAGCCCCGCCAATTATCGACCCCCCGCGTATTGTCTTGGAACAACAATCTATAGAATGGGCAGTTTATCTACAATTTGTGAGTCAAATGACTCACAAATCAACACTAATACAGAACCACCCAAAACTAGTTTTACATCATGTGAAGCAGAACTGACCGAGTCCAATTACCCAATAGAACCCTTCGAACATGAGTTTACAGAAATTAACAAAACCAGACAATACTTGAATAATTTATCGGAAAATGATAACACCCCTTGCATTTCGAGGGCCTCAAATACCCCCTTACGTCCTCCTAAAAACCTTACAGATTCCCACAAGGTACCTTCCACCATGATCCCCGTTCGGATTACTGCACGTGATCACCGATCTATCCGCAATTATAATTCTGGCATACTCAGTAATCGTCGTAACCTCCGGAAAATTAAATTAAGCAGCAATGCCTCGTATACCTTCTTACCCTCCTTGTTCCTATCCAACTCGAGGTCATTAGTCAATAAAATCGATGAGCTGTCTGGAACTGTTTCTTCACTTTCTTTGGATATTGTGGTCATTACGGAAACTTGGCTTTCTCCTAATGTCAGCAATTCAGCGATAAATCTAAATGGCTTCTCCATATTCAGGCGTGACCGACGAGATGGTAGAAGAGGTGGAGGTGTTTGTGTTTATGTAAACGATCGTATGCCTGTGGTTCATCTTAAGGAACTTTCACATCCCGAAGTTGAGTCGTTATGGCTCCTAATAAAACCAAATCGACTACCACGTGGAATTAATTCTATCATTTTAGTCGCAATTTACCATCCACCGAAAAGCGACGATAGGGCCCTGTTAACACACCTTATTGAGTCCCTCGACAGTGCATTAACATCCTATCCTGCGTCAGCTATCATCATTGCAGGCGATTTTAACCAATTTAGGCACAGTCAACTATGTAACTCGTTTTCCCTTAAACAGGTTGTTAAGCATGCAACAAGAGGATCCAACATCTTAGACAAAATATTTACAAATGCGTCCAAATTTTATAACGTTCCAGAGATTCTCCCACCTGTCGGTTTCTCTGACCATAACTGAGTGTTGATAAAACCGCTGAAGCAATGTATGAACTCCCGGAGTACCCGAATGGTCAGAGACACGCGTTCCCCTAATCGGAAGTTAGTCTTCGAGGCTTTGTCAAGTATAAACTGGTCTCCCCTGTATAGAATGGACTCTTGCAACGATAAGTTTCATTACTTTTCATTCATTGTTAATGGCATTGTCGACCAGTACCTTCCAATGAAACGTATAAAATCGGATAGTAGCGATAAGCCCTGGGTAACATCTGAGATCAAAAGATTAATCTCCAAACGTCATGATCAAGCAGCTTGGAATAGCGGAAACAATATCATGTTCCATCTCTACAGAAACAAAGTAAATATGCTTTGTAAGAGAGCTCGTTCAAGATTTTACAACAGCAATGTCGCCGACTGTTTTGAATCAAATCCGCATAAGTGGTGGTCCAACATAAAAAACATAGCTGGCCTTGGTGCAACGAAAAACGTTTCCACTATCTTATACAATGATCAATCCTACTCAGGCTCCGCCCTAGCTAACTTGTTTAACGACACGTTTGTTGCTGTAGGAAGCACCTCAACTGACAGTGACCATAAACTCCATGCACTGCTGCCACCAAAACACCAAGCGAAATATAACTTAAGACTTAAGACACAAACGCCTCTATGCTCTTCCAATGACTAACATTAACCGCTTCAGGAACACTTTTGTGCCATCTATGATATATTATAATAATTTAGTAGGCTAACATGTCTAATATTTAAATTTATATACTATTGTAAAAATCTACGTAATTCAGCCAAAGTGGCTGCAAAGTGGCTTTTAATAAAATATCTATCTATCTATCTATCTATCTACCCTTCCCCCATTCTCATGGACACCCATTGCAGTTGATGACGTTCCTTTAGATTTCTATATCTCCATTGATGAAGTTGAGAAAGCACTAATATCTGTAAAATCTCATTCGGCGGCAGGTCCAGATGAGATTTCTCCTTGGCTCCTCCGTGAGAACTCTGCCTCCCTATCCCGCCCATTGGCATCCATTTTCAATGTTTCTATCCAAGAAGGAAACATCCCGTTGTTGTGGAAATCCGCCAATGTGTCTCCTGTGCCAAAATCGTCACCTACCCTGGATATTGATTCCGATTTTAGACCGATCTCTCTTACGCCAATTGTAAGCAAGATCTTAGAGTCATTCCCTCATAGCTGGCTTTTACGGTCAGTTAGCGGTCAAATTGATAACCTCCAATTTGGTGCGCTTAAAAGATCAAGTTCCACAATGGCATTATTATATATGTTCCATAAATGGTACGAAGCCATGGACACACCCGGCACCTGTCTTCGAATCTGTATGTTGGACTTCTCAAAAGCATTTGACCGGATTGACTTCAACATCTTACTTCAAAAATTGATACATATGAGCATACATCCTGTCCTTATTAATTGGATCGCCAACTTTCTCACAGACAGAAGACAGCGTACAAGAATCGGCCCGAATTATTCTTGTTGGAGGCCAATCAATGGTGGTGTCCCACAGATCTCTGACGATTCTGTTAAATTCGTAGACGACACTACTTTATGGGAAATAATTACGAGCGCCCAATCGTCTGCTTCAGTCTTACCGACACAAATTAGTGAATGCTCCAGTTGGGTGGCCAAAAACAATATGAAATTGAATCCCACTAAAACCAAGGAAATTCGAGTATGTTTTTTCGACTTAAGATACCGAAGCACTTCCTCCACTTACCATTGATGGCTGTAACATTTCTGTCGTGTCACATGCTAAATTACTCGGATTAATCATCTCCGAAGACCTCAAGTGGGTTCTTCATGTTGATTTCATTTGTAAGAAAGCTGCGAAGCGTCTGCATGCTCTACGATTATTAAAGAGATCTTCCATTCCATCAAGCAAGTTAGTGCGAGTGTTTAATACATGCATTAGACCAATTTTAGAATACTCGTGCGAAGTATGGCATCACAGTTTGCCCCAGTGTTTAAGTGATCAGATCGAAAGGATCCAACGCAGAGCCCTACGAATAATCTTCCCAGATTGTTGTTATGATATTGCAATGGACCGCGCCGGTGTGGTGTCGTTATTCATACGGAGAGAGACGATCTGTAAGAGATTTTTTGAACGAATGCGTACTGACGAAGCACACAAGGTACATTCCCTTGTCCCTTCCAATCGGGATACAGAATATTCCCTTCGGGGTGGCAATAACAAACTATCAATACCTAGGTGTAGAACTAATAGATATGCAAACAGTTTCATAATTGCTGGAAGTAAAGCTTTTAACATTAGTAAAACTTAATATAATTCACCATGTAATTATTACTATAATAATTCTTAATCTGATTGTATTTTGTATTTTAATCCTTTTAATCTTGTAAATCGATGTAATTCAGTCCTTGACTGCTAAATCGGTCTTTCTAATAAATCTTTCAATAATAAAAATAATCCTGAGGATTACTCAGGATTAATAATCCTCAGGATTATTAATCCTCAGGATGACAGACATGCACACATATCGTATTTGATATAAGTTATCGTGCTGACAGACATACACACACGAGGGTACCTATTTACCGAGCCAAGAAATCGAGCTCGAATCCTTGGCTCGGTGTATAGTATATCTCTACACACACATCTTCTTCGTGAGAAATTGTGTCTGCGAAATACTAATGGTTGCACATGAGTGATTCTATTGAATTCGCACACTTTTTGCTTTAGCAGTGACTTCTACTTGCTGACGGAAGCGAAATTTTCTATCGCGAGACCTAATTTATCTTTACTGCAGATGTGATTATTTATTTCCCACAAGATTTTTCGCGTTTCGCCGTGAAAATGCGCTCGTGGAATCAGGCCTTTAATAAAAGTGGTAGTTAGCAGGCCGTCGTGGCTTATAATCAGGGGGTGTGTGGTTTTGTATTTTGCCGACAAATTATCCTAAATACGCGTCGACAGACGGGGGGACAGGCCGAATTTGATATTTTCAGGGGTTATCACCCCCCCCCCCCTAGCGATTTCAGCTGAACGGTGGTACTGACAATCAATCGCCAATTGCAGCCATTGTCTGCTATATTTCTGGGGCCAGTTGTATAAAAAAGTGATTAAAGTTAACTATGATTAAGTGCAAACGTCATCTGATAAGAAGCGCCTATTTGAGAGTTAATCACTATTTAACTACAAAATAGTGATTAAGAGTTTTATACAACCGGCCCCAGAAGGCTTAATGATGCTAATTAAGTTTACTCTCCGGCGAGCTGCTAATAACAACCAACTACCATTTTTAGACACGTTGATCTATTACAATCCGAGGCTAAATCTTTCTCAACCACCCGTAGGTTATGTTAAGCCAATCCACACCTTAAGCCTGGTTTCCATTAAATCGTAATCATCGCAATAGTCGCGGAACGCAGACATCGCTATCGCAAAAATCGCAGTAATTCTATCTTTGCGACTTTGTCGTAAAGCCTGGTTTCCATTAAATCGTAATCATCGCAATAGTCGCGGAACGAAGACATC